CAAGGCCAGGAAAGCCTGGCGTGCTGCAGTCCATGGGTCACAAAGAGTCAGACATGACTGAACAAGAAAAATGAACCCATCATAAGAATAAACGGATTTAGAGCCCATGTTTAGATCAGAAATATCTTTTATATACTTATTATGTCAATATGTATGTAAATAATATCTACATACCCCTTAAACTAAGCTGACTTGTACTGAGCCTGCCTACCATACTAGGCCTTAGGCTAAAAATTGCTACTTTTACTGAATCTAACACAACAAACATCTGGAGAAGGGGAAGAGAAGGAATAAAAAAGAAACAATGTTGCTAATTAAACTATGAACCAAAGTTTTCTCATATCACTGATTTTCAAGACTCATCCCAGTTTCAGGATTGTTAATACTTGGGGTGGGAAAGCACCTTTTTGGAATCACTAAAGAACACCATTCTTTTTCTTTTTCATTCATTAAACAAAGTGGCCCAAACTTCACCAAGGATTTATTAACCTTCATGTTGGCAAGTAGCTTTTAAAAATCAATTTATATTTTCTTGAATTTTTACAGGTTTTCTTCCAGATGAACCCAAACCAGGGAAGGGCCTGCCATTCTTTAGCCACCAAGGAAGGCTTCTATTTCAGGAAGCTGCTAAAGTAACATTTTCTACTCTCACTGAGAAAGCTCCAGCCAGCTGAGGCCAATATGTACCCAGGACACAACCAACCTGTTCTCTACACTTGAGCCCTAAGGGAGAAGTGAGTTCCCACTGGACACACATGCACCCACACTAACTTAAGCCATAAGTTACTTTAATCTTTAACAGAATTTCTAAGGAAACTCCATTCCAAGTAGACACACCAATCTGGATACCATTAAAAACTCTTGATGGTTCAATATAGTCTTTATCTGTAGATGCTTCAAACAGGGAAACACACACACAAACACGACACTCTTATCTCCAAGGGATCATATTATGGACATTAATATACCTGGTTTTCATTTGAAAATCTTTCTAGGACTGCCTCTGCAGATCTACCTCAGCCGTGTCAATGGCTGTGCTGTACCCTACTGAACAGACGGAGAGGCCATCATTTGCTCATCCAGTCTTCTCTTAGGCGTTTTGGTTGAAGTGAACATCCTTGCATTGGTTACTTCGGCAAACATCTGTGTACCCATCCCTCAGGAAAATTTCTAGCAGTGGGATTACTAAGTCAAAAGGCGTATGTGTATAAAGTAGATGTATGATGCCTAATTGCCCTCTGGGAATCAAGCCAACTGGTATTCTCCAAAAAGCCTGCATGAACTTACACTCGGTCCACAATGTCTAACAGGCCCATCCTGCCCTCCCCTTGCTCAGGGTATCTTTATCAGTGCAGCCTTATGCATACACAAGAGATGATAATATTAATACTCTATATAGAGAATGTACTCCAATATTATGAAAAGAGCCTGAGTGCTTGACATTTCTAATTTTTAAAAAAAATCACAATTATTGTGGAAACCAGGCACAGAGGTATTTAGTGGCTTGTTCAATCTAGGGTGCATGGGAGTCACGAGATCAAATATCACCACTTCCTTACCATATTCTTCAGTCCTGGAGTTTTGCGGTTAAACAAACAAACAAAAAACTAGGTACAAAAATCCTTTTATTTAGACCAATCAGACCAAATTATTTTGGCATAGTGACAATGAAGAAGAGTATAAATTACTACTCTTATTTGTTGCCCCAAAGTATCTAATGCATTATATTGTTTCCAAAACCACTTGGTTAAGAAAAAACAATAAACGCAATTATAACCACTTTAACCTACCACTTGCAACCCCCCAAAAATAAAAGAACAAGGGAGGGGTTAGGGTGCGGGAATAAAAACTTCCACATGAAAGCAGAGTAAACGAATGAGAAAGTAAATTGCATTTCCACGGAAAACATTTATCAAATACAATTCAAATGAAATTCAAATAGTCTTTATCGCTTTGATAAATTTCAAACCACTGTCCTTAAGGAATCAGTCCATATAAATATATTCATGGTTTAGTGAATGTTGCGTAGCATCCTAAATCACCTCCAATATTTACAAGGCAACATTCTGAATAGAATAGCTTAGGGAAAACGAGTGCCCCTCCCTCTTCCCTGGAAGTGGCTTGCATGTCCCTCTGTATTTTCAAGTGCCACTGGCTCACATCTGAATCACAGTGACTCAAGTTCCCCGAGCCCTGCAGCCTAATGAAACACTGCCATCAGGGTCTTGGTGGCTTTACCAAGTTATGCACAATATGACCATTATTTTTTAAGCTGCAAATTTGGGATATAACTTACAATAAGCACAAGGGAACTTCTGAAACCAATGGGACAGAATATGCAGAAATAATGGAGCTAAAACAGCAGAGGGTCCTTTCAGTCCTATCCCCTAAGTAACTTACCCTTGGAAGGGCACTCATGAGTAGATAGGGCTACAGCAAACGCACAGGCCCCATGGATTCCAAGAGGGACTGATGGAAAACTCATTACTGGAAATATTCCTCCAAACCTATCCCACTGCCAAAGGGCCACAAAATCCCGGGACATGGGAAAACACCTACTCCAAGGAGTCAAGTTGCATTCTTACTTTTCATTAGGTAAAATTTCATGAACTGCACCAACTCTAAGCCACAGCCTGTGCTGGGCACTTGCCCAGCAGCCCCTTACTCAGAAACATGCCCACTTTGCTGAGCACCACTCAGAACACGACTGTGGCTCTGGGCGATGCCAAATGGCAGAGAGGGCAGACCTTGGCTTCTGCTCCAAAGACTGCTGAAAAGCACATGGCTGCTACAGACACCTGCTGTCCAATCTGGGGGGATGCCTCTCAAGAGGCTGTGAGCTGGGGACCACTGGGTGACTGTACACTAGAAAATGGGATTCCTCTCAACGAAAGCCAGTCTGCTGGGTGAGATGGGGAGATATCTCTAATCTGCCACATAAATAGTGCTAAAGCTGCCATGGATGAGGTTAGTGCGTAAGGGTATAAAGGAATCTAAATGCCAAAACTTATCAATCCAGTAACACTCTACACAGGCATCTGCCTGCTTCCTTTCATCCCAAGCCCCCGAAAAGCACACCATGACAACCAGAGGAATTTTGAGTTAACAGTCTTGTCCTGTTAATTAATTAATTACCTGACACTAAGCAAGCCTATGACAAAACCTTAGAGAAACACACTAATGAGGGTCTCTGAAATATAGATGCTCTGAAAGCACCACCACCACCTCCTGACTGAGACAACTATTCTCTGTGTTTATTTGCTAAATGGAAACTGTCTAAACTCCTTTCCATCAAGTCAACCCTTCTATTTTCCCATATTTGCATAAAAATTGAACATATTCACCAGACAAAAGTTATCTGTTAGAAAATCTGATTTCTCTTTACTGTTCTTCTGGTTTTATGTCATATACCCTAAAGATATTGCCTGGATCCCACTACATGCCACTGCAAAATCCCTTTTGTTCTCTGATCTGAAGAATGCTGCATGAGGGGCATCCGATTCTATTACATTTTATTCTGCTGTAAGAGGACTAGAAATCCCTTGAGACCAAGTCTTATTTGGTAAGTAAGTTTAAGAATGTAATATCTATCTCCGGAGGGGGGCTTTGCATTTAGATTTCAGAATTTGTTGTTTGCTTAAAAGTGTGCTGTGAAGGTGGAATGTTTTTCTCTAAACCTATGAAAAAGAATAATTCAGTATTTCATTGGGAAAAACAACAGAAGGCCAAGATTTCCCAAAAAAGCAATTGCTGCATTTTTGGCACCTGCAAAAATGTGCTTGCAAATAGGTTTTTTGTTTTAAAGTAACAGCACCTGCAATTTGGCAATCCTGCAGCAGCATGGTTCACCCCCTTGTTATGCAGTTTACAGACTCCCTGCTCCCCACTCTCTCAAGCAGAGCCAATGCTCCAGTCCCAAGGAGAGTGAGCAGAGACAGGGGAACATTGGTATGCAGAACACACTGTCACCTTATATAGGTCACTGCTGGAGGACTGTGCTGTGCATGTACTTAAGCACCACTTCTGTTTCAAGCCCCATTGCCACTCACATCTCCCACGTTCCAGACTGTGGTTCCCTGGGGTGACAGGTAGTTTCAGCCCTACAAGGACCAGCTGCTGACTGCCCACAGCCACTGGCCTCGGGAAGCCTGGCACCTCCAGAGAGCAAGCAGCGCGGCCAAGGGCAGCAGAGGCCTGTTAAATGGAGAATGCATTTATATTTGCTCAACCCTAAGGAGATGGATTGAAATTTATCTCTGTGTGATAAACAGGGAATTGCAGTTGACAGACATTTTCTATATGAATGCAATTTACTATGTCATTACCAGTTTATGTTTATATAATGAAATCAACTGTTTTTGTGAGGTGAATTACCCAGATTTATTTTTTGCAAGTTCATAATTAAATGGTACTTAAATATTTCCTCTCTGTTTTCTATCTGTGCATCATGCAGACAGAGTCTTTCAAAAGTAGGCAGTTCAACTATGATCATTTCTGAGGGAGAAAGAGATGCTTTCTAAGGCGCACAATTTTTACAAAAGAAACCGAAGCTGATGATGCTGGGAATCCCATCTCCTAAGTATCACAGGCTTGTAACAAACAACCACAGTCCAGACGCAGGTCAGTGTTTTTTCTACACACAACAGCAGCAAAAGGGGTGAATGCTTATGGAGTTTTACAGGTCACAGCTGCAAAATCTTACTCCATACAGAGAACACTTCCTCCAGGCAGTTTCCTGATTCACGCCTCTGAAATTGAGACCAGCCCCAGCACAAGCAGAACAACTCCAACCCTATGTCCCACTGCTTAGAGTCACTGGTAGCTGTTTTCTTTAATTAAAATGAAAACCAGCACAATATTATTGCTAGAATAATTTTTTTTTTTTGCTAGAATAATTTACCTGCCCAGACTTGGGGGTGTTTTGATTGTCCATTATTGTAACATAGGTGAAAGTAATTATGCACATCCTCACATACTTCTTAGGGGAATCAGCTCATTACCTGAGACAGCCAAGAAGTCATCAATGGAAGTGATGTCATCGACAGCATCTGTGAGAACTCGGACTTGTTTTTCCCACTGTTCTTTAAAAAGATCCATGTTCTCTTGGGCCAGTTTACTCTGTGGTTTTGCTGCCAAAGCCAATGCAGCATTGATAACCTGCAAAGACATTAAAGTTCATTGTATACTCTTTCAGAGTCAGGAAAATAAAATAAGCCAGATACTTTGGTTGGTGGAGTGGCTATGGCTTTGTCTCCTGTGCATTTCATGAGGACACATGATACCACATGCTCCACTTAAACAGTTACAAAGATGAAACAGAGACATAGTAAACAAAAGGCTTTACATATGAATGGAGAAGCAATTCATCAGAAATACAGTACTGGAAATACTGGAACTATGGATGGTAACAAACACAAATTATCTTTAATCTCCCCACTCTGTGACAGCAACTCTTCACAATTTCTGACATTTGTATTTCAGGCTTTTTTTCCTCCTCACATACACATGTACATGTGCCAAGTCAAAAAATTCACAACTAGAATTATATGCTAATAAAACTGACTATCTTGTTTTCTTTTAAATACTTCTCCATATCATTAAATGAATGTTAAAACATTAACTTTATTATTTGATCTTATAGATGCACATCACTACTCCAACTGTAGGATGCCTAGGTTTGTTCCAGTCACCCATTATTCTTAATCTTGTGATGAACTTTAGCAATTTAGGCTCTTGGGATGTTCTCAAACTACATATGTGAAAAATGTTCTTCTGAGGCATACTGAACTTGACATACAACTTCAAAGAAAGTATAATATTTATTAAGTTTAAAAGTTATTTCTTCTATAATAAGTCATTTCTTTAAAAAAACACACACAAAAAACGGCTTTTCACCTATTTAAACTGTAATATGCAAAGATTTTTGGTACATTCAGTTTTGTAACCATTACCACAATCATTTGTAGAACACTTGTCTCACTCCAAGAAACCCCATATCCACTAGCAGTCCCTCCTTATTTCTCCTAATCCTATCTTCCAGCAACCACTTACTCTGTGATTTTTTTTGAATTTAGCCATTTTGGTAAATTTTTATGAATTACCTATTCTTGACTTTTCCTATAAATGGAATCATATTAATATGTGCATTTTTGGAACCAGCTTCTTTCACTTAACATGGTTCTAAAGTTCATACACACTATAAAGTGTATCAGTACTTTGCCCTTTTTATTGACAAATAATATGCCATTATATGAATTTACCACATTTTTCTTTATTCAATTATCAGCTGATAGACATCTGAATTCCACTATTTGGTCATTATGAATAATGCTATGAATATTTACATATGTGTTTATTTCCACTGTTCTTTTATATATAACTAGGAATGGAATTGCGGGAGTATATGGTTAACTTTATGAGGAACTGCCTATCTTCCAAAGCAGTTGAACCGTTTTACATTTCCACCAGCATATGTGAGAGTTCCAATTTCCTCATATCTTCAACACTTGTTTTCCCTTTCTCCCTATTCCATTTTTTAAATAACAGCATCCCAGTGGGTGTGAAGTGATATCTCACTGTGGTTTTGATCTCCATTTCCCTGACGGCTCATGATATTGTCTCTTAATGTACTTATTGACCCCTAGTGTGTATTCTTTAGAGAAATACCTTTCAGATCCTTTGATATATTCACGGAATGAATGAATAATGAAAGTAGTTTGAAAAAGAGCTGAGAGAATCGCTAGGAAGATCTCTAGGTACAGGTGCTTATGGGTTATTGGAAATAAATGTGTTCATAGTAATGCAACTTTGAAGGTAAGCAAGGACAGGGAAAGCGGGTGGTGCTGGAGTTGAGATCTGTGACAGGACAGTAGTTACCATAGAGTCACTTGGGCATTGTGCCAGAGGGCAGGAGTTCGGGATTATGTTTTTTGGTGCTACAGAAACCACATGCCTTCAGGTCATGTGTGTAATTCCCAATATATGGGAGGGGGATCCAAGAGTGAGGTTATCAAATTACCCCTCAAAGACTGTAGTCAAAAAACTAAAGAAGAATCAGACCCACTTGACTGGTACAACTAATTCCTCTTCCCTCCCAACTAACTGGAAGGGATGGATTATCGAAACTATCAATTATAGACTGTAGGTTTTGAGGACTAGGGCAACCCAGTTACTATTAACAGCCCACTACTTTCAAAAGTGAATGGGTTTGGACAATAAATTATTTGTCAGAAGTATCCTAGTTTTCCCATGTGTTATACCATGGTCTCCCCGATTTTCATCATTTCCAGGCTTGTTCTTTGACCTCTTTTCCTTCTTCCCTTTGTTTCCCACTGGGTGATTCAAGACTGTGGACTAATCTTCATTAGTTAACTCATTAATTCACTAACGTTATCAATGAATCAGAGTGGAGCAAGACCTTGTAAGAATACCTGGCTGAAGAAAATGTTTCTTAAGAGGGCCAAGTAAACAGCAGCAGGGAATTAATTATATGTTTTAAATACTAAGATAATTTTCCGTTACAAAGAGAAAATTGCTCTCTTTGTTCTGTAATCTTTAACAGTATAATGGAGGAAAAGCATCTTGTCTAAGGTGAACTTTCTTGTTTTGATTACAAAACTGTGGGACACAATAAATTAAATACTATTTTCTGATGTATTGGGATTAGAAAGATACTTAAAATAATACCTTGAATAATCATCCAACATGACACTTAGTAGGGAAAACTCTAGAATCATTTACTTTAAAAATCAAGATGTTATTGATCGGAATACCTATTGTCATCATTAGTTAATTAATAATGATCTTTCTAGCTAATGAAATAAAGTGGGAAATGGAAATAAGAAAAGGCTGTTTAGAAAGTAGACAATAAAATTACTTTTCAATGTAGAACATCTTTGTTTATCTAGAAAACTGAAGTAAGTCAACTATAAAACGTCTTAGAATTAATAAGAGTTCATTAAAGTGAAAAGTGAAAGTGAAGTCGCTGAGCTGTGTCTGACTCTTAGCGACCCCATGGACTGCAGCCTACCAGGCTCCTCTGTCCATGGGACTTTCCAGGCAAGAGCACTGGAGTGGGGTGCCATTAAAGTAGCTAGAGACAATGTAAATATATAAAAATGAGAAACATTCCTATATACCAGAAAACAGGACATAAAATGAAGGGAGTATAAGCTCTTCATGAAAACAATTAATAGGAAATACGTGGAATTAAATCTGTAAAGAAACCTAAAGGACCAAGATATCAAAAGTGACTTTTTCTGAGTACATTATAAAAAAAAAAACTTGAATAAATAGAAACACAGTCCATGTTTAGGAGTGGGGGACTGACCTATTTATTCACAAGTTAATCTGGAACAGTTAATGGCTGAAAGCAGCAAATATATACATGGGCTAGAGATCAAGAGTAATGAAGAGAGTTAAAATGTAATACAAAGCTAAAGTAACTGAAAAGAATGATCTAAAAACACACCCTATCATAAAGCAGAAGTCAATATATGACAAGAGAGACACCACAAATCAGTGATGGGGGGATGGTCCATTTTTACATTTGATGGGCTATTTGGAAAAAAATAGTCAAAGTCTGAACCTCATACTTATATTTATGTGCAAAATAAGACCATTCCCAAATGGATAATGAGTTAAATTAAAAACGATCTGGCTAACAGAGTGTGTTTAATTATGCATTTACTGAACAAATAAATATTTCTTGTTTTAGAATGGTTAAGGTTCCATGCTTCCACTGCAGAGGGCACGGATTTGATCCCTGGTCAGGGAACTAAGATCCCACATGCTGTGTACCAACCCTGGCCCCACCAAAAAAAAAAAAATTCTCTGCTTACATTTGTGTTTAAGTATACATGACAGATGAAGTATATAATGTCTGACAAATCACTAAGGAGAACACTAAAATACTGGTAGAAAATGGAGGTAAGACATGAACAGCCTACCTAAAGTGACCTATAAATGATTAAGAAACAACTAGAGGGAAATATTTACTCTCACTTCTCAATTAATGTGAGTCACTATCCTTGCTCATTAAATTTGCAAAGAGCCACAAACTAGGCACCACCACCATGTATCAATGGCAACTTTTTAAATGCTAAGGCTAAGACCTCCAGGACAACACTGAACACTGGACATTCTTGTCTGGTTCTGATCCTAGGGGAAGTACTCAAGCGCTTCATCACTGAGTATGATGCTATCATGCTAAGGAAATTTTCTTCTATTCCTAGTTTACAAAGTGTCTTTAATCAGGTCTGGATGTTAGATTCTGTCAAATACTTTTCCTGTTTCATTCCCACCATTCTGGCTACTTCTGTGTCTCTTTTGCTGTCATCTTCTTCCACTAATGCTTGAGTTCCAAGGCTTGATCCTATGCTGTTCTACACTTCTCCCACCTGTGAGCAATTTCTAGTTTCATGATTTTACATACCACCCATGTGCCAACTACTCCCACATCTCCATCCCAGACCACTCATTCTAGCTCCCAACTCATTTCCTAACTACATACCCAACAGCTCTACTCAGATGTCTCAGGTATTTCAAAATAAACATTTCCAAAATAAAACTCATGATTTCCTGCTCCCAATCATGTTGAATGCAACTCACTTTAAAATATCTATCACTCAACTTCAAGAGGACTCACAGTGTTGGGGACAGCAAGAGAACTAGATTTCCTTAGTCCAATCAGTATCTTCCTGTCCTCAAGTCTGGACTCTAAAAGAGTAATTATTCTGTATCTTCTCCTCAAACCTGTCACATTTCTGAGAACATCATCACTCTCAGCTTATAGCTCTGCTTCCTATTTAAATGAAAAGATGAATACAATCAAAAGAGAATATATGCAAATCTTATCACTGCATCTACCCATTTACCTGCATTTATGCCACATGCTGTCTTACCTCTTGTTTAACTGTGAATGTTCCTATCTATGTTCCTATCTCAGAACAGTCTTGCCAGTTATCCACAGGATCTCACTTCCTCTCCTCTACTGTAGGACAATATCCAAGTAATTCTCTCCACTCTAGTCTTTATTATCGGTATTTCCCTTCTACTGGATTATTTCCATCAACTGAACGTTAAAAAAAAGCTCCCAACTAAAAATAAAAAGCAAAAGTCACTCTCAACCCTGTATGTACTACATGCTACCATGCCAT